TTACCAAATTTAAAAATTTTCCACTTTGATTAGATTTACCTATATTAAAAACAATTTCGTCAGTTCCACGAAAAGCACTGTTCTCCATTGCTAGATGCATAATTATGTCAATTATTGTTTTCAATACTAATCTCCAATGATTTTCTTCTAATTTTATTGCATTTTGTAACTCTATATCAATTCCTTTACCTTCACAAATTGACATTTCAAGCATTTTCCATGAACAAAAATACTTTTTATGAATATTAGAATTTTCATGTTCTGATATTCTTTCTGATACTTTCTTCCAATTAATAAACCCATCTAATGCTAATTTTGATATATTTTTGTCGTTTGAATTTAATAACAATTTGCATGGTACACAAAATAATGCATTTTTTGATTTGGAGTAGCTAAGCCAAGTTCATCGACATTGATTTCCATTTACAAGATTTTTGAAAAACCAAGAAACATTAACAGAACGCCCTTCTCTTTCAGATCTAGTAAGATTCAATTTTTCAATATAGTTCATTCTCATTCTAACAATATGAGTTCTTTGAGAATCTATTATTTTTTCAGGCCATGTACCACAATCTTTGAAATCCAAAGTTTCATTTCCACTTAATTTCAATGATATAAATTCGGACACATTTAGATTTTGATCTTTTTCATGATCAGAATTTATTTCCTCAACAATTACTCCAGAACTACATTTCTCAGTATTCTCATCCTCTTCAACATCTGTCCCATTCTCTTCATTTTCTATAAAATATTAGATATTTATAATAAATCCAGGTATAGGCCCTTGTAAAAAAATTATAATGCCGCAATTGTAATTAAATATTATCAATACTCGGCAAAAACGCCGTAAACATACTTGCTAAGAAATATTTCCGTATGTCTCTTAGTGTATATAATATTAATATCATATACAGCGGTTTTACTTAGCACTTTACTCATAATCTATATTTATGGCATTGTTGTTTAGGAAACATGTCGTAATAATGCCGTGTCTAATAAATTAATTTTAAATTACTGATAAATGATAATGTTTGGGATTTCATTGTTGTATACTGTTACTCACCACACACATATTTGGTTCACTTATCTATATTATTTTAATATTTTAGTGATCAGGACATTTTCGTATGCTAGGTAAAAAAACTGTAACTGGAATTACGGCGTTTTTGCTTAGTAAACAATTCTAAATAATTTATAGCGTTCTTAGTATAAATATCAAAATCAGAATATCTCGATGAAATAAAATTGAACAGTTCCATTGCATTTGTTAGGTATTTTTTTAATAGAAATTATGTATTTTAGTTTGAAAAATATTATATTTATGAAAATAGAACAACCAATAATTACAAAACATTAAAATCAATTTTACTCAAAATGTCATGTAGAAAACTTACAGCATTCTTCCTTAACAGGGCAGTATTTTACTGTATTATTTCAATAAAATAAATTTAATTTAATTTTTTTTTATTAAATAAAAATTAATTCACAAAGTTTTCCGAAATCTATTATTTTAAAAGTTATACCTGTTTCATACTTGTGGTTAGGTATAAAATTCTAAAATAATACTTATATTGAGAGTAATAAAATATTATAATATTAAATCACGTCATTAATTATTATAAAACTATATGGTTCTAATAATTATAATATAGAATAATAATTATAAATAGTTTCTAACCTGCGCTACATTGTGTATTATTATTACCCAGCCAATTATGAAAATACGCCGAAGTTCGCTCATTTTCTTTTTTTTTTTCGAGAGCTTTTTTCCGGAACTCGCAACCTGATAATTTTTTTTTTTTAGACTGTTCCATAACAAAAAAATTATACAATAACTTGTAAGGTACACTTAAATAAATATTTAGTTAAATATGAACATTCCCTTTTCACATAATCATACACATTTATTAAATATCGTCCACTGAATAGTGAAGTGAACGCTAAACACTGTTATAATAAATAAGTACAACTGTTAAATAGCAGAAAATACACACACATGAATACGCAATGTTTTGTTGTCGGCTTATCATTGTCCAATTAGTTCGTCTACGACTAACCGATACAAGTATACAACATTGGTTTATATTAATTGCAGAGTGGCCCGGTTGTGTTTTTGGCTATTTTTAGCAAAATGATAAAATCAATAATATAATATGATATGAAATTACAAATATCTTATCTTAATCTTTACCAGTGTGACTATTATGAATTAAAACTATTTAATTTGAAATACTCATGTAATGCAATACAAAAGATTCAATTTGTTTTTTAAAAAAATTAAAATGTAATAAAAATGATAAGTTAAAAATTTAAAATTTGCGCCCCTCTAAAATTAGCACCCGGGGCATGGGCCCCGTATCGCCCCCCCCCTAGATCCGGTACTGGTGGTGGGCCACAGTAAAATAATTTAATGCTAATATTATGTAATATCGGTTTTATCGGTTTGCGTAATCGGATTAATTTTAGTATCGGTTTTATATCGATACCATATATCGGTTTATCGGGTATCGGTAAAAAGTAGTATCGACCCATCCTTAGAATTTTTATTTCTCTTTTGGTACTATTTGCATCAAATTTCTGCATTACTTCCGGAACAAAAGCATTTTTGTCGTGTTTATTGACTTGTGCATACGCGTATGGGCGTTGGAACATTCATAAGAATTTTGGTACCTAGCCATAATATAAATATTAAATATTACCTGCATTTCGAACGATTATCAGCCAATTAGAAATATTGACTACGGAAATTAAATAATAGTGAATTGTAATAATTACAATTATTATTAAGTATAAATCATATCGTAATAAGTGGGCTGGAACAAGTTGAGGCACTATAAACTCTTGATATGTTTTTCGTACCTAGTGTCATGAAATTAATTTCAAGCTTAGAAATACATTGAATAGCCCAATAAAAACATGCAAATGCAACATCATCAGTCTATAATACGATTCATCACTTTTTTCGTTCATAAATAAATCATAAATACTCATAAAAAAAATAAAAAAAAACGTTAAGCGTTTTATATGAAACTCTCAGGAATAGTAGATAGGGACATCTATAATCTAATATTGTAGGTTTCAATTCGATCGCATTACTTTAAACACTAATGAGTAATGACAAATTGTTTGAGGCTATATCAGCCATATTGATACTTCAATTTTTACATTGTAATACACTGTTTATAATGTCTATTGATCTCAGAATCAATAATTAAAATATTATATTATGGTTCAAATCGTCGTTGTGTTATTCTATTTAAATAATCTAGTTAGCCTATTCAATGGGCTCACTACAGCCCTAACCTTTGAACATGACATTGTGTACATAATATTTACTAACCGCTACCCCATTTTAGAAATCCTTAACTATTGAAAGACTAAATTTACAGTCCCAAAAAGATTTCTTATCACAATTTTAAAAATGATGATAATGAATAGGCATATAACCATGGTTCGGGTTTCCATGTGCTACCAATAATATTGCAGACAAAATAATGAGGTTATGTATTATTATTTTCTTATTTACATACAAAAATTAGAAATCCAAACCGTTCAACATCACGGTGGTTTTCGTAAGCCATACATAATAATTATCTACCTAGTATGTTTATTTTTTTTTTTTTTTAATAAAGCTGTTTAATTTCTAGGGTAGTTACAACTTGCAATACTGAAAAAAATGCATCGACAAAAAAAAAGAAAAATTTTTGGAAGCACAATGTATTTGAAACCAACTATTTTTTCTGGTAAAATTAGTAATAAATACTGCTACTTACCCATGGGATGCTTTGCCCCTACCTGACTTAAGGTATTTGAATTTCAAAATAAATTTATTAAATTTTGGTGACAATATTGAAAATTGTGTTTATGATGTACAAATTTTCAATAAATAATCTTAAATTTTTTAATATTTAATAAACTGATTGGTGATTCCTTCTTTCAAAATTTAAAATCAATTAAGAATAACTGTTTTTATTATATCTATGCAATATTATCAACAAACATTCAATCAATACCGGTACATTTTTTTTAAATTATTAATCATCTCTTATCTGTAATCTGTGTATGTTATTACTTAAACATAATTTTTAGCTTATTAGAAGAAGGTATTACCAATACAAACTGAAATAAACTCATTATCAAAAACAATATTTGTTAATTTAGAATAAACTAAGTACTGAACTATGACGTCCTGGCACCACAGTATATGCACCAATGTGTTAGTTCTGAATTCATGGCAATCTGAACAAATATTAAAAGCGATACATTAAAAATACTTTACATTTTTTAAAAACATAGAAATTCTTCATTTATTTTGTTTAAAATTGGATAAATCTTTTGTGTTTAATATAATAATTATTATTAAGATACACCATGTTAAATATACATTACATTAAATAATAATAATATCACTACATTAAATATTTATTTTGCTATTTATAAGGTATAACTCATTATTCTGATATACAAACGTAAATTAAATAACCCATCTTTTTGAGAGAATGCCACATCCGCATGTGTTGTCTTCGTCTGACATACGTATGTTATCTGCCATCTGCTCGATTTCAACTTGAGCATTCAAAGATGTGTTATTTTTAATTATTTAGACATGATAATTTAACTTTTAATACGTTTATTTTACAATTCAAAGTGTTTAACAAAATTCTGATTCTAAGTGATGTGAAGTTGCTTGGTAGTTCGATGACTAGAACTCATCTGATTTGTGGTCTTTTCCATCATCCTTTTATATTGCTCCACTGACATTATAGGACTTGTTAATTTGGCAATATCCAGCGATAGGCCTTGTTAGTTTGACCTAGTTCATTATTCTTAGAATATGGGTTACAGATCAACTATTACATAATATAATAAAATAATAATATAATGATGACCATGCTGTCTACGCAATACATATAAAATTGTGTTATATAATCAAAAAACATTTTCTATTAATATATGGTAGCCCATTACACGTACAACATAGTAAGTTCGCGTTTAACTACTATACATAGTCATAATTCCATGTAAGATAACATAAGGAATAAACAGAGGGATAGAGCAATTTTTATTGATATTAATGATATTAAATGTTTGACATTAGTTACAAATTCACTTTGAAGTGTATTCGCATCCAGAGAGAACCACGTGGAGGTTGTCAAACTTTCTCTCCGCACCTAGTAAATAAACTTACTACAACAGGTGGGATCACGAAGGACCTGGACCACACAGGTCGGACCACATAGGTTGGACCTCATAGGTCAAATCAGTTAAATTAATGCCAATAATTAAAAATTATTTGCATAATTGATTTTACAAATGCAAAACAAAAAATGGAAAATACTCCTACAGAAGTAATAGCATTACGCTAGTTCTCATTAAACAAATCATTAATGAAATTACACAAATTCAATACAATACTAATATTTAAAATAATACATTTACACATAGTATATAAATATGGATGAAACTTTTCATGTCTCCACTTTTGTTTTCTAGGTGTTGATCATTGGTTTTTTTGGCACAAAAGACATTTGAAATCACTTTGTTCATAGTCTGCTGTTGTGTCTAATTTATCCTCATCAGGAATACAATTAAATACCATCCAACGATTGCAGTCCGTGCATTCAACCCATTCAACACCTTTTTTGCCACACATAACTCTGTGAGAATAAGCATTCCTGCCACAATAAAAGCAGATGTCTCTCATAAAATCAGAATTTTCCAACAAATATGTCTTGAGATACTGCCTGTATCCCATAGGGTCAAAAAATGTATCGAAACAATCTCCGTTCATCAACGTAATGGCATAATATAATATGTACACTTCACAATTATATGAATCTTTTTGTAACGGAATATTTAGTAGTTTATGAGGGCTCAAAGTCAATTTTGGAAACCATCGATGTTCACCATACGAACAGTAAGTTTTA